TTAGACATATATTTATCTAGACATCATATATATATATATATAAATATATGTATATACTTTTATCTTCGCACTCTCAGCCCTGTGTACTATTTCATTCTCGTATATGCCTAAATCAGAGCTTTGGATAGCTCTATTGACGTGGAGGTGGATCATAGTCTATCGCTTAGCAACGCACTTCTCGCGGCACTTGATTGCTACCACTGGGTGCTGAGTCTTGATGCCATGGACCCCGAAGGTACGTAGAAACAGATTTGTATATTTGTAGGTCGACGTATGTAAGTATATATGTTGGTATATCGGACAATGCATATAGGTATATATGTAGTTGACTCGCACAGTGTATGTATGTATGTAAGTAACTCGCACAGTGTATGTAGGTATGTAAATAGGCAAGTCTGTCATTGCATGTAAGCATACGTATGCATGGGCGAGTATTCTGTACGACTACACGTTTTTGCTATACCTGCATATAAACATTCTTGAGGTCCATGCATTATACATGTATAAATACACAAACATACTCATATAAATATAATAGTTCATATACAAATACTCACAGCAACTGTCTATTTAATAGTCTGAGTTATTGTTTAGACTTATGGATTGCGAGCATTTCTTAGCCGTAACATTTACTCACTGATATGTCCTTGCTCAGATATTATTACCACTATAAAGTCGTACCGATATACGTTTATCTACATACACTTCGATCACAATGAAAACCATTGGATTGCCTTTCGACCCCACACACTACAGCGCTACTAGAAACAGATTTTGGATCTCAGTTGGTGCCGTGGTTAAACAAGTACTTCGACTCAGTGGGAAAGCAGGTGTGTGTAACGTGTTATAGTTCATGGAAGATAACGTATATACTTATAACATCGTATCAGCTGCAACTAGGACTTTCTATACTACGTTGTGGGAGGTTTCAACAGACACATTGGGAGATTTTATATAGTATGTATATTATTCACTAAGTGTTGACTAAATAGTTTCAAATACTTATAATCAGCTCAAAGATCGGAATCAAAATAATTTGTTCATTATAGTACTATTTATAGTAGATAGTATGTCATATATCATCTAAGAGGACGTTACTTTCTTAACGCATTCGGAGATGGGTTTTAGGCAGCTCCCTAAACTCAGCGAAATTATATATATGAAATACAACTCTATCACAGTTGCGCCAATCAGATGCCGAGGAAGTAGTTTTGGCGGGAGAAGCATTGCACGTGGCACTGCGACGTGCCAGTGCGATAGTGCGAGTGCTGGTGGTAACCACCCAACTAATTGCAAACCACTCTGTATGGCTGGGGAAGGTACTGTATAGATGTTTGTACGAATATATG